ATACTGGGGTTTCATTCGTTGCACAAAAGAAGGGTGGCTGCCAGAAGTACCATGCATCAGTAAGTAAATGTCTTTACAATGATACATGTATCTTTCAGTGAGGGAAGAAAGAAGCTCATAAGTATTTACAGCTGTCTTGCATGACAAATTAGGGCCAAAGGAAGAATTGTGTGTGCAAAAAGACCCAATTAGTTTTTATTTTTATAAGAAGCTCTTCATAAAAATCACATGAAAACCAAAAATACAAGAAAACTTGTATCATTTATACATGTTTTAGTTACAAAACTAAAGATGAATTCAATGTTATTGATTTTTATTTTTTAGCAAACATCCAGTATAGTAGTTTTAGGTTTTTCTTAATTGCACAGTTTTGGGTGCTTATGCATTCTCTAAATATTATAAAGGTAATTTTTAGTCCAGTATTTTGTTCAAATTAATGTTTTAACTTTTTATCACTTTATGCTCCTTAGGACAATGCATTTTCAATTTTGTGGAAAACGGACATTACTCACGTGAAACAAGACATTTACTGAATGAATCTGTTAAAGTTGACTGTTATCCTGGCTATAGTCTTTCAAATGGTCAAAACACAGTTACATGTACAGAGAATGGCTGGTCCCCTCCTCTCAAATGCATTCGGATTAGTAAGTAAAATGCTCTGATATCTATACTCATGATTTTTTAAAGGCCCATCTACATTAAACTGGGGAAAATATTTATAATAATTTGTTTCCATGTTTCAAGTGTGTAAAAGTGGAAATCAAAATTTATTGTTAAGTATGTAGCAAAATAAGTGCACCTTAGTAAACAGTATACAAGAATATAGTAAAGAATTTGAATACAGGTGCTGGGGCTGTTACTCAGTGGTGGAGCACCTGCCTTGCATGTGTGAAGCCCTGGGTTCCATCCTAAGCACCAGATAAAGAATAATAAATAAAGGTATTGTGTCCATCGAAAAAAAAAATCAAAAAAAGAATTTGAATACAATATTTTTGGTTTAATTAAGCCATATGCATATACATTGAAATTAATCATTTGACTCAAAATTATTATAAAATTATGATATAAATAAAAATAAATACAATGAGAGTAAAAGATGTCAGTCAAGAAGTGATGGGACATTTTTGCAGTTCTGCCCTTTGTCTCTGAGTATTTCTGGGACATTTAACAGAAAGGGGTCTTCTGGGACATTGTACATATTTGGTTTTAGGGTTTCTGTAGTGCTTGTACTAGTATACATTCTGGTCAATGCTGCATTCTTGCTCTATGTTCTTGATAATGATTAAGTGACATTGTATCTTAATATTTACTAGATAAATGGTAATAAAGTGGTAAAACACTGAAGTGTTGATATGTGCTTCTTCTATTAATAATTGGGTTTAGCATACATTGTTATGGGCTAATGGGTGGTTCATTTTTTAATCTGTAAAATGCAGATTGATAGTTTTTTTCAATTATCTTTTTGGAATCTGGTGTTTGTTGGATTCTTAGTAATTCTAAATATTATTTTTCTTTCAATTATATGTATTACATATGTGTTCTTAATTTATGTGGCTTTTATTTTTCTTTAGTGTTTACTATGAATAGTATTGTTCCTTTCACTATAAAATTATCAGTGGATTTTATTGCATATTTGATTGTGTCAAAATAAAACCAATATTTATAATGTTCTAATACAAAAGATGAGCAAAAATTAAAAATGTATAATGCAAATTAACATTTTAAGAGTAGAAACTTCTTGAAAATGATCTGTAATCAAACATAAAGAAAAGTGGAAAAATTAATTAGAAGTTGTAGAATTCTTCAGAAAGTAGACCTACTTTTTATTCTAAAAGTTATATTTTGTCTTCATACTATTAATTCATTTTCAGGTGATTTTTCTGCATGATAATGACACTATTTCCTTTTAAAACAATATGGGAAAATTCAACATTTCCCCAGTAATCTATATTGTACCTTTTCATATATCATAAAAATGAATACTGACTATTTATACTGTGTACTCTATTTTGCAATATTAGCAAATAATGTTTTAGTAATCTTCTACCTTAATCACTATAGATTCATAATAAGTATCTATTCATGACTTTTCACTCCAATCTTTTTTTTATCAGTTTCTTTGGGAGATAACACTTTGATCTTCTAAAAACTTTTAAATTTAGCTTACCATGTTACTTTAATTACCCTGTTTAGATTTTGTTTGCATTTCTCTTGGGTCTGCAGAATAATTTACAAAGAATTCATAGCTTAATGATATTGACCTTTCTCTTTTAGAAATGAAGTATATTTCTATGTATATATTTCTACATATATATTCTGTATTTCATATCTAGGTCTTTTGATACACATATTTGCTCATGAGAAGCTTTGAGATTTTCTGAACTTTATTCTTTGTAGGTAACAGGTCTATCCATTATTGTTTAATCTCTAAGAATGTTCTTTTATCTTTGGCAATTTTAAAATTTACAAGATTTATATTATTAATTTGCTTAAAATTTGTGTTGAGCTTTTACTTGATAGTTTTTAACTTTCTCTTCAGAACTATTTTTTGCTTATATTCTTATTTTTCCTGTATTTTTTCTATCCGAAGTGTTTGTTATTTGGGTTAATCTGCTTTGAACGTATAACTTTTATTTCTGTGTCTTTTCACTTTTTATGTTTTATGTAGACAGATTGCTTTAACTTTTTACTTTCAGTAACTTAATTATATTTAAAAATGTTTTTAAAACTGCATATTTAATTTCTAAGGGCTGATTTTTAAAATTATATTAGTATGTATTTATAATATAGACTATCATGTGCAGATATGAACATGTTGTGACATGTTCATATCTGCACATGATAGTTTAATCAGTTACATTCCTCACTATCTCTTCTGCCCCTTCTTCCTCCCTTGCTGGTCACCTTCTCATTTTTCAATTTCTAAGGGTTCACTTTTTAAAAAGATAAACTTTATTTAGGTATGAAGTATATACAAAGAAATTCACATGTGTTTAGTGTGAAGGTGAAAGACTTTGATAAATTATATAAGTATAAACATAATGAAGTTTGAGATAGTTTTAATATTATGAGAAAGTTCTCTGGTTCTTTATCCATTGAGTCTATCCTCAATTCCATCAGCATAGGCAATCAATGTTATTTCTATCACTACAGATTAGTTTGCCTTTTGACAACTTTTTATCAATAGATTTACACAGCATATTCATTTATATTTGGCTTTATTTTTCAGCAAAATGTATTTTTTGGTGTTTCTTGCATTAACAACTATTTTTTTCATTACAAAGTCATATAACATTATAGAAATCAATGAGTATTTGGTTTTCTATTTCACTACTAATGAACATTTAGGTTTATTTTCATGTTTTGGTAATTATGATTGCACTCTTTATGAACATTTGAACAAATGTTGAACAAAGTCTTTGTATAGACATTTTTACTCTTTATCTAGGATAGATTTCTAAAAGTGAATTTTGCTGAGTAATATGATATGTACATGACTAAATCTGTAAGAATCTGCCATATTGATTTTCAGATGATTGGAATATTTTATACATTCCTATTGGCCACATATAAGAGTTCCAATTGACTTGCATCTTCACTGACAAATAGGATGGCCAGTTTTAAAATTTTAGCCACATTGGCATATATGTAATGGTATGTCATTGTGCTCTCATTTTATTTTCCTGGTTGACTCTTTTGGTGAGCACTATTATATCTGCTTAGATATCATATCTGCTGGGACATTGTTATACTTTTTTTGTAAATTTCAATGTTTTTCCTATTTAAATTGTGTAGGTTATCTTAACATTCCATTGTGATAGTCCTTCATATAGTTAGGATGCAATTCCATTATCAGATATATGTTTATATATATTTTCTCACATTTTGTGGTTTATCTTCTGAGGTTCTAAGAGATTGTTTCCAGTAACATATATTCTAAATTTTGATGAAAT